AAATTAATAATTTTCCTGTATTGTACTGTTGAAAGTAAGCATTTTGATATATATATATATATATATATATATTTGTTCTACGATTAACTGTTCAGGACATACAGATCATGACAGACAGACAAACATTTAGCTATTGTATATGCACATGTTTCTGTGTGTATATATATATGTAATTTAATGAGTCTACTACAGTGCTGGTTTAATTTAGTTAAAAAAGCCTGTTAGTTTGTCTGTTACTTCAGGTTTGTGAATATTGTAATGGTGTTTTGATGAAGTTATAGATACAATTAGCAAGTGACTGTTTCACATTTTTAATCAAATTAGGCCTATCACTAGTTGATGAAGCTGCATAACGGTAAAATTTGTAGTTCGAGAAATGAAACACTTTCATTATCATTACGTGATATTACAAAAATAGAGTTCACCAAACAACAGAAACTGTTAGGAGTGTTGCATTTTGTTTTAAATTTTTCACATGCAAGTCTTAAACTAGACATTAACACTTTGACCATACCATATGTATGCTAAATAATGTTGTATAACATCTAATAAACTGAATTTTTTCAACTTTGACATACAAACCTCCAACCAGGCTACAACAGTAGGACCATTCCACAGAGCAAATGGTGTTCCAGCTTTCATAGACTCTGCCAGTAATTCGTGCCTGTTTTTAAAATATATATTTATTAAAACCAACAATGTGTAAAACAGGAATGCATTCATGGACATGACAACTTTTTGCTTTCTAATCAGCTTCAAATGACCAGTTTGGGTTAAGAATGCCTCTTAAAATTTGCAACTCCAATCCATACCTCATTTTTGATCTATATTTTTTTTGCTAACAATCCCAAAAATATGTATTCTATAAAAATGCATATGTGACAAAGGAAGAGGAGGAAGATGAAATACTTAAATTCTGATTTAAGATAGGTAATAAGGTTTAAGAACAAGCAATAATGTTAATACTTATAAAATAGATTGTGACATCTAAACCAAACATTTAGTTTTGAATAATTATTCCATTATCTGGGCTGAAAAGCAGTGTTACTGGTTCAAATAGCATAATATTTTTTCTACAATGAAAACATCTACAAAACTGACAAGTCAGCCATCAGATGGTAATCAGAAGAAAATATATCTGACATCCATCGAGTGTCTTATGCTTAAGTCATACTTAAATTTAGATGCTTTATATATGTTTTAAAAAGACAGAAACACTTAAGTGTACAGTTGTCTAGATTTCACTAAAGTGCTTTTTGAATCCATAATTAGAAGACATTTTGTACAAACCATATTTGTACAAACAAACTTCCTAGTTATCCAAGTTATGTAAGCATTATAATATTTGTTTCTGAATTTTGTGCAAAGCTACATGATGGCTATCTGCACCAGCCATCCCTAATTTAGCAGTGATAGACAAGAGGGAAGGCAGCTAGTCACCACCCACCGATCAACTCTTGGGCTACTCTTTTACCAACGAATAGTGGAATTGACCGTCAAATTACTATGCCCCTACAGCTGAAAGGCGAGCATGTTTGGTGGGACGGGTATTTGAACCTGCAACCCTCAGATTGCTGCCCTATCTACCTGGCCGTGCTGGGCCAAAATTTAATGAAAAAAAAAGGGTAAGTTAAACAAAGATTGGGAAACACTTGGCCCTTTCTTTATTTTAATGGGAACAAGCAGCAACTTGATTATGTATCTACTTCACAATCATACTAAGGGAGAAATCACCATAACTACGGCAAAATGTACATTGAAAAAGTTAGGATAAGATTGTAACTTCTACTGCACATATTATTACATCTGATTTAACCATTTACCTAAAATGTTGAATACTGTAAGTAGAATAATATGGTTTTTGGACAACAAATCTTTTAAGTGAGAAAAAAATAAATAAATAGAAAATGACTTACTTCTTTTTTGTGCGCCTGTCAAAGTCAGCTTTTTGTCCCAAACCTCCACTTGTTAAGCTCAGTGAATCACTAGTAATTACTTCGTTTTCCTGTTGTGTGGGTCCTGTTTTATTGGTTATAAATGTCTTATAAATTTTGATGATTAATTATATGAATTGTCTCATTTATTTCTCTTAGGTACATAAAAAATACCTGTACTTCAACTGGTTAGTATATTTATATCCAGAAAAAGAAATATTCACGTTATTTACCTGATGAGCCTTTTATTTCATAGATGTCGTATGTAAATATTTTTAATTAATCAGTAATTTCCTGGTATGCCGTATAAGCTTTATATGGCTAACTATTGTAGGTGTAACTTTCATGGTGGATGCAGTGACATGTTCCCTGCACTTTTCCGAGGATAGACTACTTTTTGAAAAAATATCCTCATGTATAGCTGAGATACAGAAACCCAAGTAATTCCATCTTATATACACATACAGTGTATGAAGAATTCATCAGTGAACACATTAGTTTCATGTAGTAACACATTAGTTTCATGTAGTAACTAATCCCTAAGCAACATTTCAGTCTACACCTGTTTTACCATTGTATTCTGATAACTAAAGATGTCAAGCATCAGAAAAATGATATTTCTGTTTTTGATAAAAATTCAATTACTATTTAGGGTTAAAGTTTTGTGCAGAAAGTTTACTCTTTTTTTTTTTTAACCATTATTTAGACTCTTTTTGTTAAACTTTATATGACAATGATAACAAAAGGAAGTTTAGATCACAGACACGAAGTATCTAATAAAATAGATAAAACTTGAACGGTCCCCGCCAAACATGTTTATTACTACATACTTCGTTTTATGAATAGTGATTAAATACTGCCAGACTTGAAGAACAAAACCTGTTTTGATTTTAATCTAAAAGCAGAAACATATAATTAATTTGATCCTGCCTCAATTGTGTTGTGAATTGATATTTAGCTGAAACAGTCAACTATGTTACATTTAAAATGTTATCTTCCAAATACCAAAATTCTCACCAACAGGGATCTAGTACATTTTATTTTATAGGTATTATGAAATATTAAGCTAATAAAGCAAAACTGGAACTGACCCTGTTGGATAAGTTCTTTACTGTAAACTTCTTTTGTCTTCACCTTCTCCTTCTTGCTAAACAACCTGCCAAGAGATGACTTGAAACCTTTCTTCTTTGGTGGTGTTTTGTGCAGTGAATCTTGAGAAGAATGGGTGGAACTGAAGGGGGAGGTAGAATTCAGTAAACCACCATCCATCAGTGGTATATGAGTGAAACATGTGTCTCTACTGAACATTACACATACAAGAAAAGAAAATTTTAAACAAGTGAAATGCTATCATTTCAGGAAAAATACTCCAAACAGAGTGAGAGAGAGAAAAAACAAACAGAAATGACAAGATACAAAAACAAAAGTTATTTCTTGTATTTAATGAAAATAAGCATGTAGTAAAATAATATTAAAACAAAACTGCTGAAATTTGATATACTTGTACAGAAAAGCAGAAATGTACCTCAGTTATAAAGAATTAAACAAAAAATAAATCAATACATAGACCAAATACTTACAAGCAAAAACATATGAAAAGAGAAACTTTTAAGATTTGGTTTTATATTTTGATAAAAAAACAGCAATAACTATTTATTTATAAACTCATAAGATTATGAGCTCAATGTATCCTAAAATTTAAAATTCTTTGTTGATTTAAAAACATACTTGGGATTAGATAGATGTAACAGCTGATAACAGAAATATATTCTGTCAAATTAGATTTTTACATCTTGAACACAAAATAACTGATTTAAGTTTTTTACTATTTCCAAAAGAATGGAATTATTCTGCTTGAGGGCAGTGAAATTTTCACAGTCATAATGAAAAAAGAAATAAAAAGTCAAGGAACAGCTTTCAATTTCACAACAGTTTTAAAATCCACTCTTTGAAGCAAGTTAAAGGTATGAACTGTTTCTTACTAAAGCTGAATAGTAAAACTTTGATCCATCACATCAAAGTACTGTCATAGTATATATGTATTCCCAACAACAACAAACAGATTTCTTTTAAACATTACTTGATTGTGAGACTATCAATATGTTAAGTATCTCAGTTTCAACCAACTAATTGATTATTATTAAAATCACAACTTGTATCTTACTGTATCTTAGTTATCCAATCTAAAAACATAATTTCTGTGACTGGACATTTTTAAACAATACTTTCTGAAGATATTTTATGGTATTTATTTAATTACTGAAAAAAAAGATGCGACATTCTGCACTAACCTTAAATACCTAATTAAGACAGATTGAAACCAAGTTAAAATTAGACTACTATCTTTTTATGGGTGATCTTTTTTTATATATGTTGAGATAACTTCCAAGGTTTCACACTTTTTTTCTACTGCTCATCCATAATCAATGGTGTTTATTCTTATTATATGGTGGATATGATAGACATCTTTTTAAACCTTTCTGTTTCAGATATCCTGTACACAATATCAATTAGATAGATAAATAATTGGATGATCAAGGAATACTACTGGTACAAAGTTCTCAGCATTTTCAGTTTCTAACAAAAAACAATAAAAAATAAGCTACCCATTTAGTTTTTCAACAAGAAGTTAACTCAAAAGTACTGCTGACAATGTTTATTCAGTGTTAATGAAGTTCTGAGAAATTTAAATTCCCGTTCAGTCTATCATGGTGGTTCTCACTATTTGGACATGTTACAGAGTTAATATTTTCCAGAAGATGGTATAAAGTTTGTTGAGAAACATCCATAAAATGTGAGAAGGTCTGTCATCTTAGCTAAGTTAATGAGCTTTCTTCTATTGATGGAAGGTATTATGTTCCCGGTATCTACGATTTAAGTTTGAAAGAAAGATCTTCATATATACATTTTCCCTTACAAATCTACAAAATACAAGCCATCCAAGTATTTTTTCTTTTCTCATTTTAATATATGTATGAAAAACAAGCTTGCTGAACTCTCTCATTTTCTTAAATATTTAAAGTAGTTAATTCGTTTCAACACATTTGCTGGTTTTTTTAAATAAAACTTTAAAAAAAACATACTTACTAAAAAAAAGCTTAAAATATCATTACTCAAGAAAAAAAAGTTTTAGTTTATGTGACACACAAACTTCCAAGTGACACCAGTGTGGAATTAAATAATACCCCCCAAACTTTATAACTACTAATTTGGTAAAATGATTTTTTCCTGAGAAAACATATACACTGGTAAACAGTAGCAGCAAATATTGATCAAAATTTATTAAGCGGTACACAGAATTATAATTCTGATAATGTTTTTCTTTGTAACAGTATCAGATATATTGTTTTGTTTCACGAATTATGTGTTCATGTTCTGATTGATAGGCCTCAGAGTTATGATTGGCCTAAACATTAGGCTACTAACTCATTCAAGAATTTTAAAATTTTAACCTAATTTTTAAGTAGAAATTACTTAAAAAATTTAGAAAATAAAACCTTATTTTCAATTCTAATTAAAAAAACATTCTTCTAAAAACAGTCAGTCGAATGTTTGAAATATAGCAACTAAATAAGTCAGCAAGAAAATCACAATTCATGAGTTTTTCCTGGGTTATAGTTTAAATAGTCCATACTTACACAGTTGGATTAATCACAGTAGAGAATTGTGATTGTTCAACTTGAATTCATGAAGGAAAACTGAACTTCAATCTGTTGGTTTATTGAATCCAGTGTATGTAGAATAGAATATACATTTCAAACAATTGTAACTTTGAAAACACACTACTAAGGTTTGTTCCTTTAACAAATCTGTGAATATTCTTTTAACTGAAAATTATTACAAGTGAAAACTACATTTCAAACACTTTGTTATTCATTTCCTTTATCTGTTACAATGTGTGGAGAATTTTTTTTAAATGTTTTACTTTGCCAAATTAACAGAAAAGTAAATAAACTACAAACTACAATTAACAAATATCAAGCAAATTATATATAAGGCAAGAGAAACAGCTGAGATTATCCATGAGAATAGTTCCAACTGCTAGGTTTGGAAGTATTTAAAGTCTTAACTACTAAACATATTCTGTATATCAGTACAAATTAAGAAAATCTTAACTTCATCTGACTGACAGTAGAAGAATAAATGTACTATACAATCACCTCATGTAAAAATCCTGTGGAGCTGTTGTCATGTAAGTTGGTATGGATGCTGTAGTCGTAGTAATAGTTGTTGTGATAACAGCAGAAGTTATGGGATGCAAGCTTGTGTTAAAAGTGTTTTCTCTGTCACAAAGCAAAACATAAAAAAGCAAATATTTAGAGAAACTGTAAAATGAATATGAAGGGTTGCTTACACTTTTTTGTGAACAGTTTTGAATTGTCATTCAGAACATCCTAATTTTTTCTCTCTAGTATCTCAAACGGACAGATATAAAACTGAACGATTGTATGACAGTGACAAATTCAATAAATGTGAAGGAAACTCAGAAACGAAATGTTAATTTCAGTTCTTTAGAAATTTACTGGAGACTCTTGCCTACACAGGTTTCCTGTTTTTCATAATGTATTTCAATAACCCTAAAAAAAAGAAGGTTATATAATAGGAAGTATGACAGGTTTGTTTTCTAATGAAAACACTCGGTCTTCTACATTCTCAATAGCTAAATAAAAGTCAAAGATCAAAATCCCACAAGCATTTTGTTGCATAAGTAGTTTAGGAATGTGTTTTAAAAGTTAAGGGAGATACTTAACCTCAATGGTATTCACTATAAGGTTAAAAGCAACAATATATTACACAAAATATTTAAGTCATATAAATAAACCATGCTCAGTTCAAGATAACAATCAATTATAAGAAATCTGAAACCATATAATTTACTTTTACAGCAGATGTTGATTTTAAAGAAGAAATGTGCACAAAGCTTGTGTAACTGATGAGTCATGTGCAATTCTTTGTGGAATCATAAACATTAGACTCTTTCATTTGTAATTTTTTTACAATAGTGAAACTATGGTAACCAAAACATCATATAATTATAGATGAATGAATAATTCCAGAATGAGAATTGGAAATTTCTCTTTCGAAGCTGTAGTTTTTTTTCTTTTTACTTAAATCATTTTAAACTCCTCACAATGTTTCTTTTCAGACCCTTACAAGCATAGACTACTTGTGGAATTAACGGGTGCATAATTCAATCAAAATTGGTCACAAAAAAGTGCAAACATTTTTAAAAGTTATCATAGTTTGAAGCTACTGCATGATTCTGCATATAAACATCTTTTCAGAATCACATCTGTATCAAACTTTTCAAACCAAGGGTAACCAATAATTGCTTAATTAAATAAACATGAGTAAAAACCATTTGATGAAGAGCAAATTATCACAAAAAATACCAAAATTTCGTGATTAATTTATGTTACATTTTAGTTTTTGACCCTTTGAAAAACCATACACAAACGTTTAAAAAATCAATATTAATTAAATAAAAAACTGATAAAAATAAAAAGGAATAGAAGATTGAATGAAGATTCAAAAATGTGTTTTCACAAAAGAAAAAAAAACTGTATCTAAAGTAATTAGCTGTTTCCTATTGTTGTTGGATTTAAAGGATTATGAAGTGTACTCAGTATCAGTAATACCATACCAGAAAATATGAACTGTACTGAACCAATTAATACAATACCAAAAAAATCTTAAGAACTATATATATACCAAATTACACTAATAGTATAACTCAATAAAATCAATGTGATAAGATGTGCTCATCCCACTAGTACTATATCAAACTGTAACAAAATGAACTTATTCCACTGGTACCAAATCAATGTGATAAGATGTATTCATCCCTCTAGTACTAGATCAATGTAATTAGATGTATTCATCCCTCTAGTACTATATCAGACTAATATCAAATGAACTTATTCCACTGGTACCAAATCAATGTGATAAGATGTATTCATCCTTCTAGTATTATATCAAACTAATATGAAATGAACATATTCCACTGGTACCAGATCAATGTAATTAGATGTATTCATCCCTCTAGTACTATATCAGACTAATATCAAATGAACTTATTCCACTGGTACCAAATCAATGTGATAAGATGTACTCATCCCTCTAGTACTATATCAGACAAGTATGAAATGAACATATTTCACTGGTACCAAATCAATGTGATAAGATGTACTCATCCTTCTAGTATTATATCAGACAAGTATGAAATGAACATATTCCACTGGTACCAAATCAATGTGATAAGATGTATTCATCCCTCTAGTACTATATCAGACTAATATGAAATG